TCTCTCCCTCCCCATTCCTCTCTAAAATCAATAAAAATATATTTTAAAAATAAAATAGGGTCCTATCTTTTCCAAATTGTCTATGAAGGCCACATATTTGTTTTATAATTAGAAAAAGATGTTATTATAAAAACAAGTTAATCAGACACAGGACAAAACCAAGGGGACCCAAGCCCCACATGCCTGCCTGTAAGGAGCTAGGAGAGGGTTGGAAGGAGAGGAAACCAATGCAGCTGAAGGATAGGGGGGAGGGGGAGGCTTTGGGGCCAATTCTCGCTTCTCGAGGGCAACGAGGGGACAAGCCACGAGGGCCACGCCTTACTCTGGTGGCTGCAGAGCTACCACTTGTCGAAATCGTGGCTTGGGCAACCTCCTCCCAGGCCTCTTCCTCTTACCCCACCCACTTCCCTGAGTCACCCCAGTGATCCCATGGTGAGTCCGAGTCCGGAGGTTCCAAATGCTGGACTTCCACAGCCTGGGAATTGTAATTGTTTACATCTAACTTCCTGTTGTATTCCTGGGATGCAGCCAGCCCTGGAGCTCCAGGTCCCAGGCTCTGTGGGTAGAGGTGCACAGGTTGGAGCCAATGGGGCGGCGATTCCCTGGAATTCGCCCAGTTAGGGAGATGCTCAGACAATGAACTGTTTCTTAGAGACCGAACAGATCATTTAAAACCCCAGGCGTCCCTAAACCAAAGTCAAAGGCTGTAGGTCAAGAGGGCAGTGGCGACCAGCAGCCCAGCACACCGGGTCCCAGAGGCCAGGGTGCCTCCTTCGGGCAGTGGGACTGAGAGGCACATCTGTCCAGGGTCCCACACGTTCAGGAGGCACAGGTGACACGCACCTGTCCTCCCCCCCCATGGGCAGCTGCTCACCTGCTTGCCCACTGTGTCTGGGAGAAGCTGCTGGGGGGAGGCGGGGGCTGGGAACCTTTTCCAGAACCAGGCCTGGTGCAGGACAGCGGACTTGGCTTCTGCCTGTCTCTCAACCCGTAGCCGGTGGATGGAGCCCATGGTGCACTGAGGCTTGGGCAGGCCTCAGAGAATGTCCTAGAACACAGTGCCTCCTTTCCAGAGCCGATTCCTTGGGAAAGCAAGGGAGGGTCCCCCAAAAGGTGGGAGGGGGAGAAAGCCCCAGGGGCTGGAGTGGGCAGGAAGGGCTGGGGCATACTCAGAACTTAGCCCCTGACCAGGCACCCTAAGTCCAGCGCACTGAGCCTCCACCTTCCACAGGCGTCCTGCCTGTTGCCTACACTGGCTCCGCCACACCCCAAACCTCATACCTGAGCTATCTGCATTTACTCTTTAACGACTCCGGAGTCACTGGAATCTGAGCACGTGCTACCTACAGCTGTTGATCCTTAAAGACTCCTACCATCCCCATTGTAGAGATGGGGAGACTGAGGCTCACAAGGTCCCACCTTATCCAAGTCAACTCCAATCCTGGCTGCCTCCCTGGGGGCTGTGAGTAGGGCCTCTCCTCCCTAAGTGAGGTTTGTGCCATTCCAGCACAGCCAAGGGTTCGGGGAGCCTGAGCCAGGGCGGGGGGTGGGGGGTGGGGGGGTGGCGAAGGATGTAGAAAAGACAGACAAAGAGAATAAGCTGGGTCCAGGTGGATCTTCCTGTGCCTGGCTAAGGCCACAGAGAGAGATCCAGAGGCAAGCTGAGCCTTTATTTTATAGCCACAAGGTAGTGGTCACCATAGTTACAATGTTCTTGTGAGTTTCATTTATTTTGGCAGCGGCTTGCTGCATCTCCCTCAGCCCATCAGCTACCCAGCTAAGATCTAGGGAGGTCATAAGACCAAGCCTAATTATGTTAAGAGGGCTGTGCCCTCTAAGCTGGGACTTGTTTGTGGCTTTGCCAAAAGGTCAGTCCGAGGCTTAACCCTATAGCCCAGTGGTTCGCAACCTTCTGGCCCTTTAAATACAGTACCTCATGTTGTGACCCAACCATAAAATTATTTTCGTTGCTACTTCATAACTGTAATGTTGCTACTGTTATGAATCGTCATGTAAATATCTGATATGCAGGATGGTCTTAGGCGACCCCTGTGAAAGGGTCGTTCGACCTCCAAAGGGATCGTGACCCACAGGTTGAGAACCCCTGCAGCCGCTCCCTACAAGGTTGGACTCTGACCAGGCAGCATTGGGGGCGAGAGGACTCAGTGGGAAGAGCGGCTGATAAAACCGTTGCCCCGGGTGGAGGAAGGTTCATTTGGAGCCAGGTTGACCTGGCTGGGCTGGGCACTGCACCCAGGACGCTGGTGGCCAGCCCCCATGACCAGACCAGGAAGGTGGCCTGACACTGAGCACACGGCACCTGTGGTTAAGCATTGGACAAGGTTTTGGAAGTCTGGTACGCGGCCGGTCCAGGACTGTCTGGGAGCTGATGGAACAATAATTACCACTGCGGCTCGTAGTTCGATAGGTCAGGTGTCCTCTGTTTCTATACTTTATACTGGATGTTTTGTGATTATCCAGCGCCAGTCCCTTGCTGTTTTCACAAGTTAGAGGTGATTC